GCGTGAGGACAAATACTCACCGAAGACACTGGCTAGCGGTCGCGCTATGTCGTGAACTTTATTATTACTTGGTGAATTCAATTTTGATTTCCCCGTTGATTGATTGGATAGAAGTGTATGGCCCCTGTTAATATGTCGGCTATTTGTGTGGATGCTTCGACTATGTCTGAGGATCGAACTTGAAGTAAATCGGTGAATGATGACTAGTAGTGGAATACAGACCGTGCACTTCGTCCTATTTATGACTCTTCAGCCTGCATTCTCCAATGAGTCAGTGATGGTTTTCCCATCGGGACTCGAACCCAGAGCCCATAGTTTCAAACGATTGTAGATGATGTTAGTTTTACCGTCTTTGGCCAGTGAGTATTTTGTTTGACTATGGTGATTATTATTATTTGACTTCCGTCCAGTGGAATATACGGCTTCAGCACCTCAGCTCCACTTTTTCCTATTCCCTGCGGTCCTCTTTACCTGACCCTACAATTGCCGATAATCCCGTATCTTCTCCTCTCCAAATGGTTTCCTCTATGTCACCCTCAGACAAACGCCTAACTAGTGATTTCCAATTCGTCTTCCTATAGACTGATGGCCTGGCTTACTATTTCACCCAAAAGTCCCCTCAATGGCGTATGCTAAATCCATCTCCATTATCTTCTATATATTTGCTGAGAGATAGGTTGTTGGTTGGTTCGCTCCAAGAGTTTCTTGTTGCTAATTCTTTCTGACCAACCAGACATTTGATCTTTAATATGAAGTCAGTGAAGATAGTCGTTGATAAATGTCTTCAGTAGACTGTTGGAAACGCTTTCTGTGACTCCCGTGGTGGCCAAGTTTCTGATTCACATAGAAGAAGCGACTGACTGACCTCACATTTGTGTTGAAAATCCTTATTTTTTCTTCTCTAAGCTGACTGGGTGAGTGCAGAAGACTTCCAAAATGATTTCAGAATATAGAAGGTGTACCTTGCCTTTCTGATTCTGGCTGGTTTTGACATCTTCATACATGCCATCCGTCCGTATTTGAAACGATGCTTCCTAGCCAGATAAGTGAAGGAAGTGACCTTTTTCAGATTTCTCCACTTGACTGATACTGCTAGTTTTTGTTAGTTGGTCATCTTTATCACCTCCGCTTTCTCTATGTTCACCTGGTGTTCTGTCTTCGCTGCACTGCTTCTTCTGCCAGTTTTTTGGTACGCTCCAATACCCTGCAAAGTTTTTCCTGCGAACAAATCATAGCAGCAGTTTGTAAAAGGAGAAAATCGATGCCCCCGCAGTTCCATCTTAGAACATCTGATAGAATCCGGAAACCAAGCTACACCCCAAACAAACTTCAAAGTCGTCTACAGAGTAAGAAGTAGTCTCCCTAAAGGTGTACGAATCAGACTTCTTCAAACTGCAGAAGCAATGGCGACTCACTTGCTAAGTCCTGAACTCTGCATACAGAAGAAGTTTGTTCAATCACTACACTTGCAATGGACGTAATCTATCTTATCAGCCGACAAGTAAATTCTACCTAATCTTTTTCTCTTCTGTCTCTTTATTAGTATTATTTTGTCTTCTCAATTGTAATATTTCACATTTTCAACTTTCTTGTCCTCTACCCCCACCCGACTCAATTTCTACACCTCACTACCACTGTTACTGACTTGGACAACGCTCAGTTTCTAGTCATTTATGTTACGTCATCCAACTTATTTACTCAATTTCACTTCTACTTAATCTCTACCTGTAATTACCTCTGTTGCTATCCTGACCTAAGTTGTAACATTTCAGTCAATTATATTACGTCATCTAGCTTACTAACTCAATCTTACTTTAGTTGCTGTCTGATTAACTTTGTCTCTATACTACATCATTCTTGTATTAAATAATCAATTATCTAAACTTGACAAACCTCATGTAAACATACATACAAATAATTATATATAAATGCAATTGTACAGCTATGTGAATGAATTCGCCGAAAAGAGTCTCTTCGCTGAATGTCCTCTCTTTTTCATATGACTCAATGGGGATTTTCAGTTTGGAGATTGTTTGTAAATGCGTTTGACTACAGATTGTGATTCAAGGATACAAGACAGGATTATGCCTTTTTATGACCAACGCTTCAACAAATCTGAGCGTGTGACCCAAACTTGCTTTATGTATAGATTTAAAGGCACTATTGAAATCAACCTTATGGACCGTCTTTATGATGTGCTTCGCTACAGGTGATGTTGGACATCTATTTTCGGGATTATTTGTATCCGGTGATGTAATTTGTTGTTGCAGCCACTTTCGAATGTATTCTGTTTGCATTAATTTTCTCCATTAATTATCACCCCCGTTTGACATGTGGATACTGACTAATTATTGCTAACAAACATATCAGTGACACTTGATAGGTAAAATGTTGTGTATTGTATTAAAAATGTAACATATAATGGAGTAGAGCTGAAGAAGAGGATCTAATTGAAAAGTAAATATTTCTTCGATCAATGCTTCTGCCTTCTCAGTGGGGATTTTTCCCATATTGAAATATCAGTGTTTGAAGCCCTATGTGTTGCACTTGGAGTGGAAGGAGTGAATAAACTGCGGTGGAGGTCGCTTTTTCTTATTTGTAATCCTTCAGATGGATGATGCACTTGTCCCTTACAGTGTTCCTGATGACACCTCTTAAATATGACGAAGCACGTACACTGCATTAGTCTACTAGCTTCCACCAATCTTAACGCATCCAACGTTAATACCTTACCTATCTGTCCTTTGCCATTTTTTCTTCTGTGTCAAATATTTATGCTACTTACCATTAGTAAGTAGTATGAATTTACTTGATACTTTTTAACCATGACTTTGCCACGGAAGCTTAGCTCACTTAACGTATTTGATGTATAATAATTAGTTTCTTATATTTAAACATTATCTGCTGTGTGTGTGCTCTATTTATCTACCATTTGCTGTTGAATGTTTTTTTGTGTCTGGCATTCACGCACTGTTTAAATCTACACGTGGAACGCCTGTGACAAACAGCTTTGCCGTTTTTCATATTGGCGCACATTAACTGTGCTGCTGACGGCATTCAGCCTCAGATACCTCACAATTTTGGGGTTTTTACACTACATTGCATTATGTTATGTTCAATACAGTACTGTATTTTAGACAAATCTTATGTTTTTTTGGGAAACAGGCATAAAATGGACCTACAGAAAAAACTTAGAGGATCTGAACTTCGCGGATGATATATGTCTGATTTCCCACAAACTGGAAGATATGCAAATGAAAAGCAACAAGTTGGCGATAGGAGAAGCATCCAGAGAAGATAGGCCTTCAGGTGAACATAGAGAAAACAGAGATGATGAAGATTCCTGGCCAACAGCAGCAGCAGCAACAACAACAACAACAGACAACAATCAGCACAAATGGGAGAAATGTGAAGGAAGCAACCTCCTTCACCTACCTACCTGGGAGACATCGTTTCAAATACACGCGGACGTCACTGATAAGGACATCAGAGCGAGGATCGGGAAAGCAAGTCTGTAAGGAGGTCAACTGCACTCAGCATCAAAAATAAGATCCGGATTTTCAACTTCAATGTGAATTCAGTGCTACTTACTATATGGATCAGAGACTTGAAGCGTCATGAAAAGCATCTCAAACAAACTAAAGACCTTCATCAACAACTGTTTGCGCTCAATACTCAAGATCAGATCAGCAACAGCAATCTCTGGCAATGAGCGAACCAACCCAGAAGGAACCAATTGTGCAACATATATGCAGGAAGAAATGGACGTGGATTGGCCATACTCTGAGAGAATAAACCATCAAGTGACATCACATGCTGGGCTCTCTCTCTCTAGTGGAACCGAATGGGAAGTGGCGAGTTGGTCGTCAGTGCGGGGGTGACATGGAAGAGGAGAAGGTCATGTGAAAAGGAGATGAAAGCATGTGAGCATACGTGGAGCTGGCAGAGAACCAAACGCAACAGAGACTTGCAGCTGAAGCCCTATGTTCCTCTAGGAACTAAAAGAAACAATAATATAATAATAATTTGTTTTTTGGATATCACGCATCATTCAACGTGTGGTCTAACTAGTCGTTTGGATTATCAACCCGAATTTTCCTATGGAACGAATTCACAGATGATAACTTCTCACAATGTTGTATCTGTTTGCTACTTTTTTAGATGCCCAGCGAGGGAATGGTAATAAGGTTGAAATTAAGGTACCACTCTGGTCAACGAACAGACTTAGAGAGAGCATTAGTCGGCTGAACGATTCGATTGATCCAATGAAGGAGAATTATATAATTTACCAAACACCAAGTTAATGACTATGAGGTCAGTGGGACTATCGGAACATAAAAATCGAACTAGGTATGGAATGATGATCGACCCTCCTAAATTAGGTATTCTTGAATAAGGCTCGATTGTCGCGGTTCATTCACTTTCATGTAGCCATACGGTAGGGTAACCTTGGATACAGAGTACTGGTAGCTAATATACTTAGGTGAACAGAGGTATAAGTCATTGAATCTTTACCGGTGAGTGACTTGCTTAAATCTCTGGGATACGAAAATTTCCATCCATCCATTCATCAGAATACTCAAAGTCTTTTGTATTTCTTATTGTTGTAATCACGTTGTGGTGAGAGCTGGCTGCTAGCCAAAATTGGCGGATAGTAATTTCCGTCAATGTGCGTAGGCGGATACAGTTTGCAGATAGATAATCTGAACCTCAAGAAATGACCACAAAGAGATGAAAGATTAACGTTCAGCGAGAAACCATCAATCAGAAGACTGTGTTTTTGTTTGCTTACAATAATCTATAATAATGTACATGAAAATCTATATCTGTTGATTTCCTAAATAAACGGTCTGTTGCCTGGCCCTTGTCACTTAACTGCTGAGTTTTTGAATTTTACGCGTTACTCCATGTGTGTTTTAACTAATCATTTGGATTAGCGTCCCGAAATTCTTTTGGAAGAAATTCACACCTTATTTGTACATTTCTTTATTCCTTTACAGATAGTTGTCCCGCCAGGATATCGTACACGTGCTGAACTAGTCATAACTGAAGATGAATACAATGGGAAATTTCAAGTGGAAACAGTCTTTGAAGGTATAATCTCTGTTAAATTACGTGATAAAAAAGACGGTTCCATTGTATCTGTTGTGGTGATAAATGATCTGAGCAAAGTGTTGAATTCAAAGCATGGCTTTTATCAAGTTCCAAATTCTACCGGTGCTGTCAGTTTCATTAATGAAGGTTCATGTCATTGTCACTTCGGTATTGGACAACGTGTTGAATTACATGAAGAGAAAATTTAATTTAATCATGTCAAATATATCTCTCTCATTTTTTTATTGCTTCATTATATACATACATATATATACTACTGTTATTGAGCATATAAGTAGCAAAAGCATCATTTCGAAAAAAACAATTGTATTTTCTTTGTCTATTTATTTCTCATTTGGCTCTGATAATAATATAAAAATCATTTATTAAAAAAATTCTGCCATTCTTCCTCCATTCATCTGAATGTTCACCTGTCCTAGTGGAACATAGGGCTTCAACTTTGAGCCTTGAACTTTAGGTAGCAGCGGTTCTATTTTTCTGGGGTAGGGTTGCCAACCTCACGACCCCAACAATCCCTCTTAACCAGATTTAGTACCAACCTAGCGACCTGGGATCGAACCCTGTGCGTTGTTGGCAAGTATTCCACTACTGAATCACCAACGCAGATCAGATTATTAATACTTTTGACGTCGTTTTGATCTGTGTGCCGGACGGTTTAACTGAGAAGTACTCACTGTCTTTCTAAACAAGACATGCGTTGTTGGCAAGTATTCCACTACTGAATCACCAACGCAGATCAGATTATTAATACTTTTGACGTCGTTTTGATCTGTGTGCTGGACGGTTTAACTGAGAAGTACTCACTGTCTTTCTAAACAAGACATTCAGTGCAAAGTTTACTATAAAGAGAACTTATTTGAATTTACCAGGAATAATATTGTAACGACAGAATAGAACGACCAGGCAACAGATCGTTTGTTGAGAAAATCAAGAGATATCTATAGAGTTTATGTACATTATCGTCAGCGGAGAAGCAATGTCTTCTGATTGGTTGTTTTCTTGCCGAAGGTTATTCTGTACTGCTTGTGACCGTTTCTCAGAAAATTAAGCCATATACCTGCGAATCACATTTACATACGTCAAGTCTGCTGTGATTGGTTGTTGAGTTCCTCAAGGTTAAGCTTTGTTTTCTCTCATGATTCCGATTCAGGACGTAACATTGACGTAAACTGCTGTCTACAATTTTGGCTTGTAAGCAGCTGGCTCCCACCACAATATAATTGTCCCTCTCTCTCTCTCTCTTTACGAATTCGTTTTTAAGTGTTCATCAGTATTGATCGTTTTATTGATTTGGAATGTAACTTATTCATTATTAGTTGATAAATTTGATTCTGCATATCAGAATGGAACTTGGGCACTGTGGTAGAGTATAATTCCATTATGGAGAAAATTTATTTTGATAAAGTGTCACACAGTGTTATAAAGTAACATTTACCGATGACGTTTCGAGTACAATTTTTCACTGCTCATAATCATATCAAGGCACCACTCATACAACTTTCAATATGTCTGGTATTGGTCATAAGTCATTTCTATTCCATGTGTGTTAGGTGTAGGTTCGATGAACAAAGATTCAGTAATTCAACTCTGTCCCAATATATGCTTCGCTTGTGTGTTAATGCATGCAGTGCGATTGCTGAGCTTTTTTCCAAATTACTTACCTTCTAAGAGTCAACCAATCTAACCTTAACAAAATTCTTATGTTCTGACAATTTGACTACCCCTTATCTACTAGTTTCGCCTATGTAGTTGACCTCAGTCACAGTCATTGGAAGGTATTTTTGTAAATTAAATCATGGGTTCACCGGGTCCTTTAACCTACACAGCTTGTCCTACCTGAGTGAGTTTGCAGGTTTGAATGCCACCCTAATTCCTGCTTTATTAAGAATCCTACCTAGTGTCTCAGATGTCTCCTCCTTACATGGTAAAACTTTAGAGGCTTTATATTCTTTCTTATATATGTTGTCATTATTAGTTTCACCATTAATTTTATTTTGCTTTTGACCTAAATGAAAACAAAACACGTAGTTCGGCGAAGTGTCTCTTTTCGGCGGCGAATTCATTCACTTAACTGTGCAATCGCAATAATAAATACTTATTTTTGTATTTATGTGTACATTAAGTTGGTCCGATAAGAATAAAAATAAGTTACGGTTACTGTTGTCAAGATATTTCAAAAATGTGATGAATAATCAAAAACTGTAACTAGGGTGAGTGAAAGTTGGCAAGAGGGTAGTGGTAATGCATTGTCAAAAACACAGTTATTAGTATTAATCACCACATAAAAGAAGTTGAATAAGCGTAATTCAGTTACGTAACAAGGTGGAAAATTTATTGGAAGAGTTATAATTAAGATGCAATTATGCAAGAGTTTTCAAAATCAAAAACTTTATAAGGAGTCAGAAAAGAAAAAAAACAGGGGCTCACAAACATGAAGACAGTAGAAATCAGCACAGTTGTTACCATGATAGTAGAAGTGGTTGGATGGTTTTCTTTTGTATACATAACTCTGGGTTTTTCAACTGAATGAACGGCTAAGACTCCAGCAATAGGAAAGAGACGAAAGTGTATTGTCTTTGGTAGGTTATGATTCAGTTTGCGGATCACTTTGAAGCGGGAGGTGTTTGTTGAGATGGAATGGTTAGTGTTGGTAAGATCTTCGATGATCACAGTCCTTGTAGAGCCACGATTTGATCTCCCTAATGAATTTTTTAGGATTGTTATTTAACACCGAAGCTACGTCTTCTACCTATTTCATTTCATCATTCAGGTTTTTTGATGTACTACTTAGTGTTATCGAAACTACACCCAACACATCCAATAGGAATGACTAATCAGCAATCCCAGAGTTATGGAAAATAGTGGAAAAAAATAGTGGAATTATATAAACGAAGTCGTGAATTTGTGTAAGTAGTGCCTTGGTATGATTATGGTGAGCAGTAATAAGTTGTACTCGAAACCTGGTCATCAGTAAATATTACTCTATAACATTCTGTAAGAGTTTATCCAAATAAGAATTCTCTCCATAATGAAATTTAATCCTTCTTAATGTGTTCGTTGAGCTCCGATTCGTCCAAGTACCAGGCTTGTAGGAAATCTCTGGCAGTTTTGTTATTTCCACTGTTTGAAACTCTTACGTTTTGCCAGTCAAACTAGTGTTCATAATCAGTCAAGTGCACTGATATGAAAGAACACACATTGTGTTCGTTTACAGCAACTTTATGTTTTTCATATATGACAGGATGAAGTTTTCTTATGGATTCCTAAGGATGCTTTCTTGCTGGTAGTGCTCATTTTACGATAGCGCTTAATTTTTAACGATTTCAAAAAGAAACACTACGGCCTTGCATTTATTAAAGATAGGTCATGCGTGATAAAGTCTCACTCATAAAAATAACCTCGAAATAGATTACATAAAACTCTCAGAGGAAGACTACAGCTAGCACTGAAAGTCAATCACTTACCTGTGAAATTAGTTGAAAACTGCTCCATACAATCAGCTAACAAAAACTTGGAAATCCTATGCTACTAAGTTTCAAACTGAATAGGTAAATACATATGACGTAACAGACTTAAGTCCAACTCATTCGTAGGTCCTTCGGTGCATATTGCACCCACCCCACTTCCAGAGTTCCAACCCACGACCCTCCGGTTACAAGACTAACCACCTCGTGGACCACTAAGCCACTGGGACACGACTCCTCAATGGCCGGCAGCCCATGAATCCCAACTTGCGCCAATTCACACACGATATAGCAGGACTGGCAGTAGCCAATGTCGTCTCTGGCGAGTATTTGTCCTCATAAGCTCTTCTATAGACATTATAATAATTTCAGATAGTCTGTAGGAGTTGATAAGAAACTATGAAATAAAATTGATAATTCTACTTGTATACAGAAAATTTAGTCTTATTTTGCTTCACCGAAATTAATCAAAACGAATAATGTGCATAAGATGTTTGTAATATTATTTTATACTACTTAAATAAGTAGTTAAATGTAAAAAAGCGAATTTTTCAGTTCTTTGAAAATACAGTTTGGTGATCACAATGACCCTTGCTTTCTGTTTTCATGACACTTTATGAAAATGAGTTATATTAATAAAATATGACTAGAAATCGACAATCTATATATATACAAATATATATATGCGGGTATATCACAAATTAAACTGTAGTAAGGCGACATTAAGACTCAAATGAATCGATTATAATTAATTCGTTATGTTCAGCATCATACGAATTAGAATTTAGCGCTAACTGCCGACTTGATAGCCCCTCCTTTTTGTTGTTTTCATCAGTATTATCACAGTCTCCAGTGAATTCAATGATAGAGCCAAATGAAAGACTAAGGAATAAGCCATTGCTTGTCAAACAATACAAAATTACCGGTGCATAATTAGATTGTCTCGACCGTTGTGTCGACGATAATAAGGATGATGGAGAAGTTGAAGCTTGGGTTGTTGTTGGCAGTTTGGAGAGATTAACAGTTAATGGTACATATATAGTAGATATATTTAGAGAGGGATAATTGAATACACTGGGACATGGCATAGACTGCCATGCATAACCGATTTGATGTTCTTTTGGAGCAGGTAATGAACGATCTTTATCATTATCATTGTTATTACCATTATGGTGGTCACTACTGCTGCCGTGTTGATGATTCATAATCAATCCAATACGATGGTAAATTTGTGATGGATAGGTAGATGACAGTAACCATACCCCATTATTGTTTATATGGATACTGTTGAGAGTAAAGACAATACGAATGAATGAGTGAATGAATGAATCAATGACACGAGAATAAAGACAAACGTTATAACTTTTATCACACACGCACAAACTCATCTGTAACTGACAAATAGACTAACAACTATGTGGTGGTTATTCCGCCCACGGAGAGATGTCACCTGAAATGATGACAAGCCGTGATGTCCGTCAACGATACCCACTGTCCCCATTCCTGTTTAGTTTAATCACATATGTACTACAGGAATTAACTCTAACCAACTTCAGCGACTCAGGGATTGATTTTTTACCAGGGACTGACCACCTGTCCGCCTTTTCCATCCCGTCCCAGGGCTGACTAGCGAACAGAGACCTGTACGGAAGCCTCTGGGATGATATTCGCAGCGCATGTCCAAGCCACCGGAGCCGGTGTTTCCAGATGACGACACTCGGTGAGTGGTGTTCTCCACTGTGATCAAACACACGCCGCCGAACCTCAGGATTAGTTACGCGGTGATGCCATCGAAAGCAAGCAATCCTGAGGAGACGGCGATGATCGAACACGCAGAGCCGCCACACATCCTCAACTAGGAGAGGCCAGGTTTCACAGGCGTAGAGCAAGACAGCCCGCACCGAAGCATTGTATACCCGACCTTTGACAGCCAGGCTAACGTCGCGACGGTGCCAGTGTGGTGAGAGATGGTTGCTAGTCAAATTGGTTGACAGTAATTGAGGTCAATGTTAGTCATGTGAAAACAAGGTCAAGATGGACAGGCGGATACAGTTAACATATAGATGAACTGACACAGCCACAAGAGATGCAAGGTTAACTTTGTGTGAGAAACAACCAATCAACAGACTGTATTTTCTACTAACATTAACCTACAATAATGTACATCAAAATCTATAAATACGTGTTGATTTTCCGTAATAAACGTTCTGTTGCCTGGTCCTTGTCTTCTGTTGTTACACCAGAGGTGGCTCAAGTTGATGTATGCCAACCTAGCCTTCATTATACGGTTGGAAATCTCATCCGTCAGCCCTCCACCAGCACTCACACAACTATCCAGATACACAAACTTATCAACAACTTCAAGCGGTTCACCCGCAAGTGTGAGTGCAGATACAGGCTCCTGCCAATCTTGTAACAGTACTTTGCCCTTAGACGGCTCAAAATACATACCATACTTACAGACAAAAAGACTACACCTAGGTGGTTATCCTGCCTACGGAGAGATGTCATCTGAAGTAATGACAAGGAGTGATGTCCGTTAGTAGTGCCCGCTGTTCCCATTCCTGTTTAGGTTAATCACATATGTACTAGTGGAATTAACCCTATCCAACTTCAGAGACTCAGGGATTGATCTGTTACTAGAGTGAGGATAATCTCGTTGACTTAGAATATGCAGATGATATAGTCCTCCCTCCTAGGTGAAGACGCTAACAAAACACAGCAGGGAGAAATCTTCGAATGTTTAGCATGAGATTCGCTCCGGTTGTCAAATGTAAGATGATGAGGCTACAGGACACGACTGCACTACATCGACTCACCCCTAACTTAAAGGTCTGTCTGTCTGTCTGTTTTCGACATAGAACTTTGCACATATGTGCGGCAGTTCAAGTCGCCACACTCCATGTAGCACGCAAAGCAAGAGAAGAAAGTAGAAGAAATGCATAGTATAGACAGTAAACAGAGGTGTGAGACAAAGGAATAGTAATAACGAAGAACAAAACAGTTTCATTGGAAATCATAAGTCACAAGGAGTGGATACATCTGCGCCAGAGATTGAGAACGATTTTGAGCCATGTCAACAATTGTTTCCAACCATTGGTTTTTACCGTCCCGAGGACGCCAACCAGTCAGGAAGTCTACACCTTCCTACGTGGCTCAGACTAACTGTTGTAGATTTCATTGACTGGTGCCATGTTTTCGTTTGACCGCCGCTAGCTCTTTTCCAGCCTGACCCTATATCAGCTAACATTGCCCGTCGAGGAAGGCGATGACTAGGCATACGTAAAACATGTCCTAACCATCTCAGTCGATGTAATTTCACAGTCTCGTCGACTGATTTCCCCGCCCTACCTAGCACTCAACGCCTAACCTCAATATTGCTCACCTTATTATACCACTTCACGTGGGAGATAGAACGCAGACACCTATGATCAAAGACAGCTAATCTTTTCATGTCTTCCACTCTCAATGGCCAGGTCTCACAGCCATAAAGGAGGACGGAGCGGACTGATGAGCAGTACACACGCCCTTTGGTCGATAGTCGGATATCACGTCTACGCCAGAGACGGTGTAAACTGGCATATGCGAAACTATCCCTCTGTATTCGTGTTGAGATTTCGTCAGAGATCAACCAGTTGGGGCTGATGGTACTTCCCAAGTAAGTGAAGCGGTCAACGTGCTCTACCACTTCACTTCCTATTTCTAATCTAGGAGTCGGTGTAGTCCGATCCTGTAACATCATCTTACATTTTACAGGGGCGAATCGCATGCCAAACATACGAAGATTGCTGCTCAAGGTGTTCAGAAGACTCTGCATTTAGTCAGAGTCCTCGCCTAGAAGGACTATATCGTCCGCATATTCTAAGTCAACGAGATTATTCCCTGGTAGCAAGTCAATCCCTGAGTCACTGAAGTGAGTTAGGGTTAAGTCCATTAGTACGTCTATGATGAAGTTGAATAGAAATGGGATAATGGGCATCCTTGACGGACGCCACTAGTCGTCACCACTTCAGATGACAACTCACCGTAAGCCCTCACCTGGCTGCATGAGTACGAGTAGAGTGCCTTAATCAGTGCAATGTATTTTTTCGGCATTCCCTTTACAGCCAAACATCACCAGAGAACCTCTCGGTCGACAGAATCGAATGCCGCCTTTAGGTCGAGAAATATAATGATTGTTGGACGCCGATAGGAATGCCTATATTCTAGAATCTGTCGGAGGGTGAAGATATGATCAATACACCCTCTTCCTGGCCTAAAACCTGCCTGGTTTTCTCGTGTTTGTGCCTCCCGAGAACCACTTAATCTACGCAATATTATTGAGCCTAGGACTTTAGATACTATATTAGTCAAGCTAATCCCTCTGTGATTAACACAAGAAGACTTGTCTCCCTTCTTGTATATCGGGATGATCAGTGACTTACACCAACCCGATGGGACTTCGTCTGATTCCCATACGCTGTCTAGAACCCCAGTTAATGCAGACAGTAAACTGTTCCCAACGTACTTAAATACCTCTGGAGTCATTCCATCGGGTCCCGCTGCTTTGCCATGCTTCAGATTAGTAACAGCTTTAGTAACCTCAGTTAAAGAAGGAGGACCTGTGTCTATATCCCATTCAGGGAGGTGTTGGATGTTCGGTAGGTTAAGTGTGGCTGTAGGCCAATTAAACTGCTCCTCATAGTGTTCTTTCCAGCGTTCCAGTCGTCTATCCTGGGAGCTGATTATGGTGCCATTTTTCTCCGAGATTGTTTCACTTATCATTAGCCTTTTGCCACCTGTGAGTAAGATATGGACATTGATTGAAAGTGGAAGACATCAAGGCAGCCTGGCACACATCTATCCAGTCATATCAGACGTCAACGTGATCATATCATCATCAATTGACGACAACTTACCTTTTCGGTGTTGGTGAAGGTACATTTAACCAATAGTACCATTTATCTGGAGTAGAATCTTCTCTAAAACATCTAGCATAAACACTTTCAGTATTTACAGAATTCATTGTATGCGTAATCTGTTTTTGTAATTCATATTTCATAGTGTTGAAAAATTGAAAATGATTATTTGTATCGTTTGACTTTGGTAAGGAGGACAATTTATACCCAATTGACCATAAACAAATGCCTAAACCATAAGATTCCCAATTTGCACCAGTAATATACTTGAAGTGAATTGATTGACCTTCAGGATTACGATCAATATCGCCTAAGATCAAAAGAGAAAAGAGAGAAAAAAGGGATGAGTAGTATTTAATGAAACACACTACTGCTAGATGATGGTTAAAACAGCCATTGAATATCAACCTGTTCTCTCTGGATCATTTCTGTGATCCCTTCTGACTTTGGATGCAAAACAACTAGTCTAACAATGAATGAGGAAGTGATTCAACGATCTAAATAATGAAATAAATCTTGAGGTGAATTAATTGGTCGGTTACTGGGATATAGCTAGTGTCATTTGCCTGGTGTCCCCAAGTCTTGGTAATGACTGGATTCTATTCGTGAATTCACCATGTGCTCAATCATTGATATAAGTATAAAACTTGGGCACTGTGGTGGTAGAGTATAACTCCATTATGGATAAAATTTTATTTTGATAAATTGTCACACAGTGTTGTTATACAGTAATATTAACTGATGACCACGTTTCGAGCACAAACTATTGCGACTCATAATCATATCAAGTCATTCACACAACCTTTTTATTTCATTTATATACATGTGTGGAATTAATTAGATAATTAATTAAAAATCAATATGGGATAATGTACATTCAGAAATAATAATATGAGTGTTATTGATCAGATACAATCAGATGGGAAATACGAGTGTTTTTTATAGTCATAATATGTACCTTGTTAGAATGTTGTGATGTGCTTGAATTGAAATAGAATTTTGAGATTATTTATTATCCTCCTCTGATTTGACTGACTGGTGGTAATAATATCTTCTATATCTCTGGTATTTGCATTGAGTCATTTCTGTTGCATGTGTCGGGTGTAGACTAGATGAACCAGGATTCAGTAACCAATCTCGCTCTCCAGCTACATAGATTACTTCTTAGAATCTTAACCCTCTCCCACCATATTGTGTGGTTTTGTGTTAATGCATGCAGTGCAATTGCTGATGAGCTTTTTTCTAAATTACTTATGTCCTCGGGGTCAACCATTCTTGCCTTAGCCACTAAATTCTTATGCTCCGACAATTTGATTACCCCCCGATCTACTAGTTTGACCTATCAATCAATTTTGAAGACACACACCATGGATGATCGGATGTTCTAATAGCCCAGTAGTAACATCTCCAAACTGTGTTAGCATACGGCCACGTGGGGTTAATCCTCAGCTGATGCATCAGTTCCCCAAAAATGTTGGGAATACATCATTCTAGCGAGTGCAAATAACCAAGAAATTTAGGTCAACAGGTCTCCAACCACCTGTCTCTTGGTTTCGCTTTCTTGGCTATCAACATGGTTTTTTAGATGTTAATGGCACAAGTTAGCAAAGGAAGTAGCGAAAACAAAACTTCAGGTGAGCACAGAGAAGACACACAGGTGGTGATGAAGATACAGCTAACTGACAGCGACAACACGAGAAATTTGAAAGAAGTCACCTCGTTCACTTACCCAGGGCAATATCGTTTCAACTGCAAGCGGTTGCAGAGATGAGGATGTCAAAATCAGGACCGGAGAAGCAAAACAGACCTTCATTATTCTGAAATTACTGTGGAAATCTGCTGCATTCCACAGTATAAGGAACACTACTGTCAATTCAGTCAGTGCTTCTATATAGTTTAGACACGTCAGATGCGCTCCCAACAGATGCCGCCTCCAGCTTTGACAGTGAAGACCAGATAGTCAGCCCGGAAAATACAGGCTCACAAAGAACACTGACAACGAACTAATCAGGAACTTATTAGCCCAAAAATTTGTGGAAATAAATAAACATGGGTTGAACTATTGGGTGGAACAACGGGCCAGGCCCTAGAGTGGAACCCGAGTGGGGAACTGCGAGCGAGTTGAGAGGTCGACAGTGACAAAGAGGAAGTCGTGTGAGAAGGGGATCAAAACCTTATGGGCAATCATGGAACCAGCTAAAAAGGATTGAAGAGAGCGGAGTGACGTGGAGGTGTGCTGTTGAAGTCTTATGTTCCACACGGAACCCAAGGGGATAATAATCACAATCAACACACAAGCCACTGTGACTGCAATTTTTTTTTCCGCTAATTTATCTAATGACAACGATGAACGGTTTGACAACTTCAGTGCCATATCCGCGGTCTAAAAGATGATTCCTTATAGAACACAGGTATCATGGTATGCTTTACTACTTTGAACATGACCTCTAAGAAACCCTCTCTCTCTCCCTACATAAATTATCACTGATGACATTCTTAATTGTGGTGGACTGAATTATGGGTCAGACTGTTGGGGACGAGGAGTCAGAAATACGCTGGACGACCGATAAGAAGACTCTAAAAGATCTGAATTTCGCAAATGATATATGTCTAATATCACACAAACTCGAAGACTTGCAGGGGAACACAGAAAAGACGGAGGTGATGAAGACAACCAATCAACAGCAACAACAACCAATACCAATCACCATCAACAGGAAAGAATTAACAGAGGTTACCTTCTTCACTTATCTAGGCAGCCAGTATCGTTTCAACTACATGCTGGTGGAATGGATAGAGATGTCAAAGCCAGTAAGAATCGGAAAGGCAAGATACGCTTTCATCAACCTGAAACCAGTTTGGAAATTTTCGGCACTCCACAGCATAAGGAACAACATTCGCATTTTCAACACCAATATGATGTCGGTTGTTCTATACGGGTCAGAAACTTGCACTGCGTGTCATGAAAAGGACTTCCAGCAGGCAGTTGCCGACTTTCATCAACAGCTGCCTCTTTCACTGGCTCCGTACTGAAGACCGAAATGCCGGCCAGAAAGAATAAGCAACAAGAAACTATGGGAACAAACCAACAAAACAATAGCCTATCGCTCAAAAAATATGTAGAAGAAAGTGGTGATGGATCGGGCATACATTGAGGAGACCTCCGAATGCCATCGCACGCCAGGACCCCGAGTGGAATCCAAATAGGAAGCGACGAGTGAGTCGTCAATGTGAGGGTGACATGGAGGAGATCCTATGGCGAGGAAGAGATGAGAGAGTTTGGTCAATCGTGGATCCAGCTGAAGAGGACGGCAGAAGACAGAACAAAGTGGAGGTGTGTTGTTGAGGCCCTATGTTTCAATAGGAACGCAAGGGAATTATATATACATAAATTCATCGCAAGCGCCAGCCAGTGTCACAGGCAAGCAGCCATCCTCTTACCTAACCTGATCAACCCCGCTGGTTACAACTTTTCACTAGAACCCCAGGTAACCAATCAAATCCCAACAAACCGACACTGGATAATAAATCTGATGCACACTAGCGACTGGTCCTACAGAGAAAATTGCCTGGGATTCAAGTGAGAAATTGTAACCAACCAGCAGGATCGATCCACCAAGTCAGACAAGAGGACAGTTATTCTCCTGTGACACAGGTTGGCGGTTGCGCTTGACATATATCTTTCACGAATTGGCAGAAGTTGGAATTCATGAACCGGTTACTGGGTCAGGTACCAATGGCTAAGTGTGGTTTACGAATGTGTCTCATTACCAAAAAGCCGTAGATTCAAGACATGGTGGGTACATGTTGCTGAAGAGTCCCAAGGTAGGCTGACGAAACAGCTGTCTAGTACTCTACGGTTTCCCAGTGGTTCTCTAACTGATATCACCTCGTAATCGATTCGCACCACGGAAATAAATGTTTATTATAAAAACAAACTGACAAAATCAAATCAAAAATATATATACATATCGCTTACATGCAGGATCCAGAGTCCATGTTAATGTTTCCCAATAGGAATGACCACTATTATTATTACTACTACTAGAGTTAATATTGTTCATGAGTAATTTAGCTGTAAACAATCGACCATTATTATCTGTAGCCCATAATTTCATTTTAATACAACATATTGATGTAAAATAATTCGGCATTACTGTTGTTGAACTTCCGGGAACCTCTTCAGTCTTCCAAATATCTGAAGAAGCAGAAGAGAAAGAAGAAGAAGAAGGAGAATAGAGCTCAGAATATACAACAATGTATTAAGAATATATGTGTAAAACTTGGGCAGTGTGGTAGTAAGTAATTCCATATTAGTTTGTTTATTAGCTGGGAAGTTAAACACCAGTGTGTGTGTTTACAGGAAACCCACACATTGAAACAGATATTTGGACTTCCGATCATTCCATCCTATGTCAGTGGAAATAGGATTGGTGAAATGTTTAGGTGACAGAGCACAAAAATTAAGTAGTACCAAGGAAAATCTAAAAGAGGAAGTGATACATATAAGAGAAGCCTTGAAACTTAATAATTACCCGGATAAATTAGTCAGGAAATATGTAGGGAAATGTAAAAGTAAAATAAATAATGATAGTAGTGATAGTGGAAATAACAGTAATGATAATAATAGTAATATTAATGACGACATGCATGTCAAATGTGCGCAAGACAACATCAACAATAAGGAATCTAAATCATCAGTAATAATTCCATACAAGGAAGGAACCTCGGAAACCTTACGCGAACTCTCAACAGTGCAGGACCAAAAGTGACTGGCATTCAAACTACCCACAAACTCAATTAGAAACAAGCTTTGTCGGTTAAAGGATCAATCCTGTGGAGCCTTTAAAACAAAACAATTCAGTTTATCTAATACCCCGTGCAATTATTATCAGATCAAATACAGAGGTCAAAGTATTAGAACAGGTGCAGTCACTCAGACTAGTCGAGCACAAAAACCTAGCAGCGAAATCTAGATTAGTTGACTCGAATAAGATAAGAAATCTAGAGAATAGTTCAGCCATAGCACTGCACTACATGCAATTACACACAATCATACAATAGGATGGGATACGATGACAGTTTTAAAATCTAATGTCACAGGGTGAATGGAGGGAGAGATTGATTACAGAAGCTTTGTTTATCGAATCAACTGGGAGGGAATACGTGTAATAGGATTGCTCCAACACCTGTCCCAGATGTCTGGAAAATTCTACTACCCCTACAACGACAAATAGGAGAGGACAAAGAAAACTATAAAACTCAAGTTTCGAAGTCATATGATTATAATTGTTGTTGTGATTATGAACAGTAATAAATTTTGTTCGAAACCTTGTCATCCAGTAAATAATACTGTTTCACTGACTGTGTGATACATCTAATAAACAAACTAATATGGTATGTATTAAGAAATATTAATGAATGACAAATAGTCTCAGATATATCTCTGTGGTTCTTATCTACATATTTACGTACTTCGTAATGATCCACAGGGACATGAAGTTGCTATTGAATTTCGAATTTATTGTAACGATAGAAGACAAAAGACTTGATAACCGAATGTTTATTAGCGTTTCGACATACACATACAGGGAAATTATGAGTATAGCAGCTTATATTGGAATCATCATTTGTCAAGGAACTTAACCCTAAGTTCCTATTATTTGCGAAGACGCTCCGAACCGATAATTACCATGTACGTTTCTCGACTTTAACTCCAAAACACCAGTACTCGTTAGAAGGATATACTGTTTTTGGCAATTAAAATCAAGGTAGTTACAAGTCTATGAACAAATGTTTTACAAATAAATATATAATGTACTTTTATTCCTATTCTTTCGTCTTCTTCCAACTTGTACACGATTAAACCATTCGCGCCTTCGAGTTGCCCGCCAATGGCTACCAGTTCCAATAAACAAACGTTCAATGTCCGCGTCCATTGACATCATTCGCACAGATCTTCCGTGTTGTGCTACTCTTGATATTGACCTTCATATTGTGTTGCATTTCTTTGCCTTCTTTGCGTGTCTCTCATGCATTGCCACTGCTATACTGGTTGACGTAAAATTTATATCTCCGTCATTTCATATTTATTTGTACTAATGAACGTCTCTTCATTTACTACTGATAAATATTGTCAGTAGTACACACCACACTGGTATCGATCGTTTCAAATACCACAGTGTCGTCTATTGGATAAATAAGTTGGGTCAGAGACACTGTAAAAGGAATGTGAACATTGAACATTGGTTCATTGACCTTGGTAGCCAGTGGCGGGCAACTCGAAGGCACGAATGACTCAATCGTGTACAAGTTGGAAGGAGACGAAAGAATACGAATAAAAGTACTGGTGCATTACTTATAAAACATTTGTTTATAGACTTCTGTATCATTTTCGACTTTAATTGCCGAACAATACAAGTTACTACAAATACTGGCCTTTTGGAGTTAGAGTCGATAATTGATCGTAGTAGTTATCGATTCGCAGAATCTTCACAAATAATAGGAACTCAGGGTTAAGTTCCTTGATAGACACCTTTCTTACTAATAAAGACCTATGAATAATAAATGTGCTGTGAACCAAACAGATAATCGCGGAAACTCCTAGAGTTTCAAAAGACGACTACTTGTATCCCAATAGCTAAAGAGCATTATCAATGTTCATAGGGATTCACGTATATTCAGCTGATGAGTCTTGAATAAGGTGCGTCTTGAACTCCATTTATGGCTAACACTGAACACGAATGAAACGGCTGAATTATTGCTTTGTATATTAGTATCATTTGTTATCAGATTCTCCAACAGGCCGATCAATTCGCTAATATTTCATGGACTTATTTATTTCACAATGTGTAATCGATACAGTCACTGGAGACCTTTGTCTAAGGGGCTTTAGAGAGTAACTTTAAGTTGTGATATCCAAATTACTAAGAGATGAGGATATGATCGAGGGACTGCAGTCGTCAGTAGAATCTATAATAATAGTAATAATTATAATAAAGCTTTATTTCAGACAATATATGGACATATAGTACAGGAATTCCCAACGTATTTAGTTCCAAAATGTTTCCTCTTCATACAAGATTCACATGTTAAGTTATAATCTGAAGTATACTATGTGACGTAGCGTTGTTACATGTGAAGAGAGAACCCATTTTTTTTTCATTTCCTTTAAGAGTTGCACAGCATTTTGTCGAGAGCTAATTTAAATATGTACGCGAGTTCATGTAGACGTCGTTTAATATAATTACACGATTAAAACAATAAGAAACACAGATTTTAAGTAGACTATGTCCAGCCAACTAAAGTTTTCATTGATTTCGATTCTCGATAAAGTCGGTTAACACACAAAACGAACACTGGTTACTATTTGCCCTTTTCACTCTAAACTACTTACTAAAATTAAGTAGTATAACATTTACAAAATAAAGAGTTAAGCTACCAGTCATATGTATATATCTCACCTGGACAACTTAAAACTACCCATTGCGTTCCAATCGGATTTTGATCTGATATACCAATACGACTCATAAATAAACTATTGGTGAATGCAATGAAAAGTTGTGTGATACCATCAGTAGTTGATAATTCACTCGCCAATAGACACATGGCACTAACTGTTAACTTTTCGGGTTGATCATTAATTTCATTCGGATACGGCATCAATAAATCAATAACTGATTTCACTTGTGTCTCTGCATAACATTTAATCTATATGGGAAAAGAAATGGATAGGTGTTTAGCGGATTTTTTATACATGGGTCAGATTGATTGGTGTCATTGAATAGATACCTCAGTATTACCATGGTTACTGCTATCTTGAGGTATATGCAACTTAGTAATGGATGACGGAGGAATCAAGGAAGCACGTTTCGCCCTACATAGGACTAATGATCTTCAGGTACTTGTACTCCAGTAAATGATGGCTCAGTAAACTGATGGGAACGACATTGGCGTTTGAAGAGAGGCGAAGGAATGGTGGGTTCAAGACTCAATAGTTATATATAGCTGTACGTTGCTCACATCTTCACTCCACTCAACCACAACCTGGAAACTGATGTTGGTTCTAAGAGTAAAACATGTTAACTGCCTTTATGTATGTACGAGAAATGAAATCACAATTGAAACAATCCAATAAAATAATCTTATTGATAAAACTGTCATAAACTATAAAAAGTAACCTCATAAAACAGAATTTAGTAATAATAATAATAATCTGCTTTATTTCAAAAGCAGCATAGGACGGAATTTCCAGCATTTGATACATTATTGCATGCGAAAAATGATGTCACATCCCATTGTATTTACCAATTTGAATGTACGTGTGGACACATATACACGTAGGAGGGAGGACTCATTGATCTCTGCAAGTAAGGGCTTCAGAGCATATTCCTAAATGGTTCCAGAAACAAAAAGAATCATCAGAACCCAATAATGGTGAGAACAGGAGACCTAGCTCTTCTATTGCGAAACATATTATAGAGACTGGACATAAAATTGACGTTAACAGATCTTTTACACCTATCTATAGAACGTGTTTGGGGTGTATCCTAAAGTTTGTGGAAGCCCTAGCAATTAGAAAATTTAAGCCACCTTTATACGTTCAAAAACAATTCGTCATCACATTAAACCTTCCTTGGTAAAATTTTGTTTTGATACCACAGCAGATCTACTATCACCTCTGCTATTTGGTTTAGTGATCTTCATTGTTATTTTGACCTTGAATATGTCCTTCTAACTTGAGCTAAGTAGTCTATTTTCTCACCTCTCACCTCTTTATTAATTTCACATACGTGTATTCCTATGACAAGTCCGTGTGTGATCAGGTTGTTCGAAATGTGTTGCGCAAATACAATAGTACACGATTCAGACAAATTAAGTCTTCTTATTGCTCCATCTAAATAATAATAAGGTTAGTAGCTAATCTTGTCAGTTAATTGAGGTGGTGTCACCATAGATTACAACAAATAGGAGATAATAAAAGAGCCGATTATTTTGCTAAGAACATAGTAATTCATAAGTTTCAAGCTTTACACTGTCTCAATCATATAGAGCACGAGCTGGCCAAATATGGTATCGTTGATTCGCTATATACTTGGCAGTATTAGCATATAATTTTTTGTACTGACTTCTACTTCTATCAGATGAGATACAGCAAGGGGAGAGTTGAGAATAGAGGGGATGGGTGTTGAAGGTCAGACAATATAGATTTAGACCACTTGTCGCATGAGTGGTTTAGATGTCTATCAACTAATGTAGTAAGAAGCTGATTAAGTGGCACAACATTTGCCCTACTGACAACCTTTAATACCCGTCTCAAAGTGACAGTTCTTTTTTCAGTAGACCAGGAAAGACTAAACGGGAGCAGTACAAACACGAGCTGACAAATTGTAAAAGTAGAGGTTGAGTGATTCCAGATTGTTTTAGCTTCTTAATGTAGTTAGTAGATTAGACAGAACATTTTCTTGGAGATCGATAAAATATGAGATGAGCAAGTAAAGTCAGAGGATAGAACTATACTAAGGTATATTTTGTTAGACCTAGTTTCTGTTGCAATCTCCTCTATGCTACAATCATCGTGTGAACGAACCAGTTCTTGTAATTCACGTTTATGCCTAAAGGTGAAGTCAGTAGTCTGACATTTAGAAGGATTTAAAGTAAGTAAGTAAAAGCTTTTAAGTTTGAAACAGTCAGATCATCAGCGGATTTAACGAAGTTGACTTCATCCGAAAGAGGTAAGAGTCATGTAAGAAGAAATAAAAAAGGAGAGAGGAGAGAGAACACCACCCACCTTGAGTAACTCCAGCTTCAGTAAGCAAGACAGAGGAAGGTTTGCCTTTATATACAGTGTACTGCATTCTGTTAGAGAAATAAGAATGCAACCAGCTAACAGCTGAGAACTCGATTTGTGTCAGGGAAAGCTTATTTAACGACAGACATGCTTGGTACACAGTCAAAAACAGATGTGTAGTCAAGGCGAAGGTACAACGGAAACGAAGGCAATGTATTTCTGTTTAAAAGCTTATGTAGACTGATAATCATTCATTCCACATGTGAGACTGGACTTTTTTTCCCTCAGTAGTTATTATATCAGTTGGAGGATTTCATCATGAGCTGACATCAATCAGAGAACCATTGGGAAACCTGGGAGTACTGGATAGCTGTTTCATGTCTAGTTTGGGACTCTTCGGCAGTACACATCCACCGGAGTTAGAAACCAGGACCTTCTGGTTACAAGGCTAGCGAGCTCGTAGACCATTAGGCCACTGGGACCCGACACAATGGTCAGCACATGAATCCTAACTTCTGGCAATTCATGACATAGCGCGACCCCTTCGCAATGTCTTCTCCGATGATGAGTTACTGCTGTATTAACCAGTCTCTGTGAATCACTTTTGTGTCTAAAGTGGGTGTAGTATCAAAAATATGCAAAGTATAAGATGAGAATAATAACTGTAATAGTAACAGTAATAATAACAATGTCGTCGATACAGTGTGGAAATTTTAGCATATTATAGAATATTGAATCTAATGTTCTCTTAACATAGCATGGTGAGGGAAAAACCAAAAATATAACAATTATTACAGAGATTAAATGGTGATTACAATTATGAAAAAAAATGAGAGGACTTAAAATATAAAAGGAATAATGACAGTAAACCGTGTCAGTATAAGGATAGAGAAGATTGTTAATTTACTAGTGGAAAGAAGGTTAGTTAGTTACTTTGTGACTGACACTATTTTTATCAAATAAAACAGATGCTGCCAAATATGGTATCATGGAACTTTTATACCTAGACGTGTACGCGTGCAAAGTCTCTTGAAACAACTTCTTGTTCTACTTGAAGAGATGCAACAAGATGAAAGCTGAGTGTAAAGTGGATGTTCACAGTCCCACAAAATCCCTTCAGCAAATTTACTGCATGAAATCAAGTGGCTATCCTCAATGACGATGTCAACAATATGGTGCCCAATGGCACACACCATTCGCCCTACTGAGAGTCTTCAGATTTCTACAAAGTATAACATTACTCATCATATTTTGGGCAAACAAAACAATCAAACTAGACTCATAATACTTATTGATCGAGATAGGTAGTTTAAAATTGAATTTTGTTTCAATGATTCAAATAAAATAAGGAGGGAAATTCAAATGAGTAAATAAATAACACAAACTTACTCCTTTATTAAGTGAATCATCATTACTAGGTATCCATAAACACTTGATAAAAGCATTACTATTACTACTACCATTATTATTATTGTCATCTGAATTAACAAACGTCTGAACAATAAATATATTATTGATATTTTCAATTTCTGGCAAAACATAATGATGATAATGTTTCCAATAATATGTGAATAAATGCGAAGTGGATTTAATTGGTTGCATAATTATTGTATTCTTATTCCAAGGACGTTGTAGGGCGATCCTGAATGGTTGGGCACGTATCACAAGATGATTAGAAATTATATCATCAATGGGAAGATGAAGAGTAGTTTTATGCTCAGCATCTTTATCAGATTCTTTGTTATTGACAATTGAATGAGTATATCGAATAAGTGGAACGGGATATGTAACAAAATCTGAAAGTAATCAATAAAATTGATATATAAATAAGTGTAAATAATGAAATAGGGATATTAATTTCAATATTAGATAAGTTTATTTTGACTCAGTATTTAATAAATGAATGACATTCTAAACACAATGTACAGTTCAAAGGTGATATGATCAATGTTGAAATCAATGATAATATAGCTCGACCACTAGTTAACGTCCTAACACCTGACTTGCTGTACCCTGCTGGTCACGACATCTCACTAGAACCCAAGTAACTACCTACCTACCCACTGGGTCGGATCCCAGTGGCTCCTCAATGGTCTATGAGGTAGCCTTGTAACCACAAGGTTCTGGCTTAGAACCCTGTCAGTGGGTGCAGACTGTTGAAGAGTTCCGAACTAGGCCGATGTAACAACTGGCTGTTCCCTTCTCCCTTTTCCAATGGTCCCCTAACCAATGTCTGCTCATGATGAAACCATGTAGTTAAGAAGTAACGAATATAATTCATACTACTTACTGATGGTAAGTAGTATAAATTTGAACAAAAAAAAGAATAGCAAAAGGAATTAACATCATCTACGTATCAGTTGTACAGATTCTGATTCGAAGATCGGAAATCATAAACGGTTTGGCTTCACTGAATGTATATGTTTATATAACGTTAACTGAGTAACGATACATGAAATCACCAATACACATAGAGAGATATTTTGTGCTCCAGTACAGTGAAAATCAATTATACCTCTCAGATGCTTTTCTTCAGTTGTTAAAACTTAATTGGTTGATGTTGACTAACAGTAGAATTCAGGAAATGCTTTCCATCCTTTTTAGGTGTTGTCATCTAATTGTACGCCCATGCCAAGTGAGTGAGTGAGCCTTATAACATTGAAACTTGAACTCAGCTCAAGGGGATGATATTGTAACGGGGGCAGGCAAGAGAATTAGTGAAGGAACCTTTTTTACTAGTGGTATGGTGGCCACATTGCAAACCTGACTGAGAGAATTCAGTCTGCACCAAAGAAAGAACTAGACACGTCACACTAGTTAATGACTAGTGACCAATCAAAATACCCAATAAAATGCTACAGGAGGTCAATCGCGAGTCCGAATAGCTAGCTCAGTGGTAACGTCTCTGACTGACTGAAGCACTGGGTGACGAGGATTCAAATCTCAAAAGGGACATGAGTTCCTTCAAGGCGGTTGCAGATACGCCTTACTAACCTGATGAGTGCCAACTAGCACGAAACCTAGGTGGTGTCCAAGGCTTCTTGTAGCTGATTGCCTCCAACTATCTAATACCATCATATCATCCATATGCCGCTTTTAAACTTCGAATTGTTTGATTATTTTGTTGGTAGGAGGATATTTGCCTCGAGGTACGCGCCATGAAGCAATCGGTGAGCAACAGACCAAGTGGAGAAACCATTGCTACTACTCTATCTTTCTGTCAGCACATTTCACCATTGAACAAAACTGAACTGACAATAACCCTTGACCTTTATTGTCAATCTATATAATAAATATATAGACACCCTAAATAACTGTACAGGTTTAATGTGAGGTTAAGTAGAGAGGAGATATCTTTTCTCACTCATGTATTCTTTATTATCGACATCCGGAGTTTCTCTCGGATCCATGCTGACAGTGCAGGGAGTCAATATGTATACCCACTCAATAACAGCTGAAAGACGCATTACATTATAGCCTGAAAAAATCTCAAAAATACAACAATATATATTACTCATCTCCTGATGAGATCTCACGATATTTTTTACTGAAAAAGAATACATAAAAGTAATCTCCATAATTCAGCAGACATACCTTTCTGTTTAGATGTGATTCGTTTTGTAAAGAAGTCACCGAAATAGCTCCTACTCATGTTTGGTGTGTTAGCAGCATTAGTAGTAGCATTAATTTCACCGACAGTGAACTAGATGAAGCAGAACAAAATATTTTAAAACATATAGTAGTATACTACTTACTAATTATGAGTAGCACAAGTAAATAGTAGAAAGAAATTTAAACACCGTACAAAGTAATGAAATATCACAATAATGTAGATGTACAATGAGAATTAGATCATGACAGAAATGCACTATTGAGAAAAGGATGAAAATTAACATGCAAATACATCATAATGATTTTATTCAATTTAGAGTTCCACTTTGATTGATTATACCGAAGTGCTCGAACTCAGACTGACATATCAACTCCTCATGCAGATGCTTCGACGATGTTTGATTATTATTTAACTTGAAGTAAATTGGTGGATGGCGACTAGCAGTGGATGGAATTCAGGATGAGCACTAGTCCTAGTTGGGCGTCTTCAGCTGATGCACGCGCATTCCCCATCACTCACTGGGGAATAGGACGTAATGTGCATCCTGGTCACCGTCCATCAATTTGATTTGCTCAAGTTAATTTGTATTCCTCGTTGATTGATCATATTGGATGGAAGGAAATGCGTAGTCTGTGTTGACACGAAGACTCCTGGAGAGCATAGATACCATCGATGATATCTACCACCACTAGACTCACGATCAGCTAAATAACTTCATACTAATATAACCAGAAGGTCTTGGGTTCGAACCCTGGCGGTGGGTACGTACTGCTAAAGAGTCCCAAACTAGGACGAAACAGCTGTCCAGTACTCCCAGGTTTTCCAATAGTTCTCTAACTAATGTCAGCTCATGATCAAATCCTGAAACCAATCAAATCCCTACAAACCAACCCCTGAATAACCGCACACTAATGTTGAGACATCGCCGAATTGTCCGTAGTAGGGAACCACCGCCGATATGTCGACACAGGTCGAGCATATTTCAATGCAATATCAAAAATCAATCAACGGGAAATATGAATTAACATGAAAAAGGAAAAAATCTGGGATATCCATTGCACAAGTGATGACTCTCTCTATCTCTCTCATGGCTCAGTGGATGACGCCTGGGCATTTGAAAAGATGGATGGTGCTGGGTAGGATTGTGTCTAAGAGAGAAAATCATTTATCACTCACTCACTCACAGCATTTGAAGATAGATCAAGTCGTCGAATCATTTCCCAATACAACGAAATGCACATTCTGGATTCACCGTATTTCAATTCATGTTAACAACATGCAAGATTTACTCCAACCGATAAGAGTCTACTAAATAAATCTGCTGAAAAATGGTCAAATGAAATTTCACAACCATTTTTTATTCAATTTTACTTTAGAATCTTTAAGATGCTTAAGCCCATAGTAGAGCATATGTACTCACTACTCCCTTTACTCACAGTATCTTCATACATGGTATAATATATGTACCTTAGGATTACGTTGCTAACAACAATATGCAAGAAGAAATGGAGGTAGATTGGCCATACACTGGGAAAACCATCAAGTGCCCATACGCCAGACCATCACTCGAGTGGAACCTGAATGGGAAACGGCGAGTTAGTTGGTAGTTAGTGCGAGGGTGACATGCAGTGGAGGAGGTCATGTGAAGAGAAGATGCAAGCATGTGGGCAGACGTGGAGCAAGGTGAAAACGTTGGCGAAGGGAACCGAACGCAATAAAGATGTACGGCTGAAGCTATATATCCCTCTAGGAACTATAGGAAGTAATAATAATAACAAATAATAACATTATTTCCCTACTTCTTGATTTATTCAAGGAACTTCAAGCATATTACATATGTATTATTATTACTTTTCCCTTGGGTTCCGCTGAGTGGAACATACAGCTTCACCAGCACATCTCCACTTTTTGCAATTCTCTACGGTTCTATTCAGCTGAACCCACGATTGCACATAATTTCTGATCCCCTCTATGTTACCCTCGGACCAACACACAACTTGTCACTCGTTCCCCACTCACCTTTTAATCGAACAATGGCTTGCATTGAGTGAGATGTCACCCAACGGTCACCTGAGTGACATATGCCAAGTCAATATCCATTTACTTCCCACTATTTCTTGAACAATCGGTTCTCGCCTGTTGGTTCGTTCATTCCCTCCTAATTCTTTCTAGCCAGCTAGCCATTCGACCTTCAATATGGAGTCAGAGTAGCGGGCAGTTGTTGACAAAAGTCTACAGAGTGGCCTGTTGGAAATGCTTTCCGTGATTCACGGGCTGGCCAAGTTTGTGACCCATATAGTAGAAGAAGTGACTCACTAACTGACTGACTTCACATTTGTGTAGAAAATCAAAATTTTGCTCTTTATGCTGAGGCGGAGTGCAGAAGATCTCCACACTGACTCCCGAGTGCTGAAGGTGTACTTTGTCTTTCCGATTATGGCTGGTCTCGACATTTTCATCCGTGTCGTTCGCCTGTAGTTGGAGTGATGCTTCCTAGCTAGATGAGTGAAGGAAGTAACCTCTTTCAAATTTCTCCTATTGATGGGGATTGAGGATATATCAAAAGATACGACACGCTTTCATTGATCTCAATACAAAATAACACCTGAAGACTCTAATTCAACCGAGGAGATATGAAACAAGATCTTCAACAGAGGGAACGCAAAGAATGTCAAAGAATTCACATAATCCATTATGGATAGGATTTTTATTTTGATAAATCACACAATGTTGTACAGTAAAATTAACTGATGACCACATTTCGAGCATAAACTATTGCCACTCATAATCATATCAAGTCACTCACACAACGTTTCCCTTCATTTATATACATGTGTGGAATTGATGATTAGACATTTGAATAAAAATCAATATGAGATAATGTGCATTCAGAAATAATAATATGAGTGTTATTGATCAAATACAATCAGATGGTAAATAAGACGAGTGTTTTTATAGTCAAAATAAGTAACTAGCTAGAATGTTGTGATGTGCTTGAATTGAAATAGAACTTTAAGATTATTTATTATCCTCCTCTGATTTCACTGGTGGTAATAATATCTTCCATATCTCTGGTATTTGCACTGAGTCATTTCTGTTGCATGTGTTGGGTGTATGTAGACTCGATGAACCAAGATTCAGTAATCAATCTCACTATCGACCTACCTAGATTACTTCTTAGAATCTTAACCCTCTCATAACCTATTGTGTGGTTGTGTGTGAATGCATGCAGTGCAATTGCCGAGCTTTTTTCTAAATTACTCATCTTCTCAGGGTCAATCATTCCAACCTTAGCTAAATTCTTATGTTCCGACAATCTGACTACCCCGGACCTACTAGTTTGACATATGTAGTTGACCTCGGTCACTGTCATTGCAGGGTATTTTGTTAATTATATTATTTTGTCTAATTGGGTCAACTGGGTCCTTCAACCTACAAAGTTTGTCTCTGAGTGAGTTTGTGGGTTTGAATGCCACCCTAATTCCTGCTTTATTTAGAATCCTACGTAGGGTCTCAGATGTCCCCTCCTTATATGGTATAACAGTAGATGACTTATATTCTCTCTTATTTATGTTATCATTACTAGTTTCACCATTATTTTTAATTTGCTTTTGGCCTTTTTCGATCTTCCTAATGAATTTTATAGGATAGTTAGTTATTTAATACCAACGCTTCTTCTTTTATCTGTTTTATTTCGTCATTTAGGTCTTTTTTTGTGCTACTTAGTGCTACTGCTCGGTTTGTTAGACACCTAACTAAGCCTGACTTCACAGACAGATAACGGATGAGATGAATTAAAGTCTAAATATCTATTAGCAGAATGCGTTGTATACTTATATCAATAATTCTCACAATCCTGCTACGCGAATCAATTTCCATTGAACAAACATTCTGATGTAAGCAAGACGCATCAATCAATGTTGTTTACAAAAAGGGCAATGAAAGCGTCGCAAATAAACACTAACCAACTCAGAGAATAAATCCATACTAGAGAAAATAAAAAGAAAGCCGACAAAAAAAATAAAGAAAACTATAAAAAAAATCACAAACCTGATTCCAATCGGAAATCGATTCAAATTCATTATTATTATCACCACCTTCATCATCATCACAATCATCAGATTTACTACCAATAATACACTGGACATAACCATTGACCGAATAAATATTATACGCATCACTTTCTTCTGGTGTATAATATGCAATTAGAATCCAAGCTGTTACGTAATGCGTTATTCGACTTCTTCCTAGCATTTCTTGATTTTTAACTATTGATTTCATTTTCTGATCAATTAATGCGATTTGAAGTTCACAATTAATCAATGCGGCTAGATCATCATTCAATGCAGGTAAACTCCCAGTTGAAGTCAACTGTTCAGCTAATGATCGAATCAATAATGAAGGTAGTTTAAAAGTTGTTGACCATGTTAGGCGTTTTAATTGGTCTGTTACAGTTGTAGTAGTAGTAGAAATTGATTTTGACGATTGATATTCAATTAGAGAGCTCGGTAGACTGGAACTAAGTATAACCTAAAGAAGGGGATTGTTTTTTTTTAGAAAAATAAGGAATGATATTAGTTCGGTTATATTGTGCATATAAAAAAGGAGGGTTATATACCACCTCTAATAATTTTGAATAATGCAGCCGAATTTGTTCTCGTTTATCGGACAACATGCTCTTTGGTGTGCAATCAAAAGTCGACAGATACCCCCCTTCTCATATCAAGTCTAAATGTGTATACAAATTTACATATATTTGAGGGAGGAGTTACATTGGGAGAACAGAAAAAAGAAGGGCACACCTCCGATTTTCTGGATATGTACCGAAAAGTCTACGTCTCAAAAGAACAAACGATTTCGATAGTGCCATTACCAGGCATCCCCTTGATACGGCTCATGAGGCGGATGTCGCAAGATCTTTCTAAATTATCAGTATATGAAATAGTTCAATTCTCTTCAAGTTTGCCGAAGCGACCTTCCTAAGGCTTTTTACTAATTTTGTTGTTTGAGGGAAAATCATACCATATTTATACATTTTTTAGCCACATTTATGGTTTTCAAGGGTCAGTGGATAATAAGCTGTTCCGATTGGTAGTTTGACTGTAGGTTAGACCTCGAGATTATATCCTGATCATAACGTAAGCTAGATCTAGATGTGAGAAGTAAACGCTCCCTCCTACTGCTGTAGCCACTGTCACATAAAATGTTGTTTTCAATCTTGGCGAGTCGCTATCAATCAGCGTATATACATATAGATTGCACACACCATAGATGTCAATGGCGGCTTTGAATTTAAAAGCAATAGAGATGCTGGATTCAAGTTTAAATTGGAACACCACCCTATACACATGCCAGTATATATAACTGATGAGTCGCAAATGGGGGGGGATGGGAGACGCTCATTGATTCTACTTCTAGCCAACACTAATCAAATCACTGTTTACCACAAGAACTGATCATCAGATTATGGCCAATACAGATGGTGATTGGCATCAAGTGCGCTGTGATGCAGATTTCTATAGATCAAAGAAGCACTATTTGGTGTAGGCCTTCGGCGCTGTGGTAGAATGTAATTCCATATTAGATAAATTTATTTTTAAAAAATCACACAGCAATGTAGTATTAAGAAGCGGATGACGTTATAAGCATTAATTACTGCTCCTAATCGTACCAATTCAACCACACATTTTCAAAGTTTGTCTTCTTTATATATACATATATATATTTATATATGCCTACAACTAATAGATTAAAATAACCTCTTGTTTGGTAAAATTTTGATGTAAAAAACGGTATATTAGTGTAGAGACAGCCAATGATGAGGAACTCTTAATTGGAAAGGAATATATTTCTTCGCTCAGTTTGTTTTTGTTTTCTTAATGTGTAATTGATAATTTTCAAATTACTGAAATCGTCTGAGAGTTGTCTTGAGTAATATGGCGAACCAACATTCAATGTTTTGCAAAACATTCTCATCAGTCATCACCACTCACTGTAAAATACTGAAAATTCACTACGTGCATTTATGTTCGTAATCAATGAGGGGTACAGCCGGTTGGGTGTGAGAACAAATACTCGCCAGAGATGAAATTCGCTGGTGGTCGCGGTATATCAGGAATTGGCAGAAGTTCGAATTCATGAAACATTGGATCGGGTCGCAGTGGTTTAATGGTCTACAGGCCCACTCACCTTGTAAGCAGATCGTCTTGGGTTCAAACCCCAGTGTGCATATGGCTGAAGAGTACCAAACCAGGACGAAACAGCTATCTGGTACTCACAGGTTTTCCAATGGTCCTCTAACCAATCTTATTTCATGATGAAATCCTGAATAATAAAATAATTAAATTCGGATGATTCGTAAAGTAAACCTCTTCCAGATAGGTTATAGATTGAAATAACTATGATATCTCTAGGGGATTAAATATTTATGATTTGAATTTCAAATTTCGCGGCAATTATCGACTTTCGACAAAGCACTACGAAATTTAAGTTGAACAGGTGTAAACTTACAAATCTGTCGCAATCAAATGATACTGTGTCGTTCCCATCATTATCACCATCTGATTGTCTAATAGCTAAACACCATACTAGACCAGCAGAACAAGTTGTAACTTGAACAATATAATATCCAGGACATGGCCATGTGTAGGATTGATTGTAAGGCCTTTTAGAAGACAGCCCAACTTGAATCTGTATCAATCATAAAATATTCAAGCAAAACAGCACGAAGAGAACTAATTAAACACATTGAAGTATATTACAACACTAGGGAATGCAACAAAAGAGTGAAAATAAATACATAACTAATGGATACTATGTGCGTCTGTAGCCCCTAATAGGTATAGGTACCCGCCCACTCACTAACTAATTCCTAAACCTCCTAACAGAAAGGAACGCTGAGAGTCAAGCTAAAAACTCTATCCTAGAAAAAGAAACGGCACCACTACATTCGAACTTCAAAGCTTGAGGCTCGATATTCCACTGAGTACGCAGGAATGGAAACAAAAAATGCAGCATACTATTGAGAATGAACAGCGAGACTAATTTTTTAATAAAAAATACCACTAACTACTAACAAAACAATAAGTAGATCATTGATAAACACAAAATAAAGTGGGAAACATCCACACCATTCGATTGAAACATTATTTTTATTCACAAATAATATTTATATCTTTATCTGAGATTTATTCCGTAGCAATTAGAAGTATTATTCCATGTGAGAAAATCTCAATGCTAGAGAGAGACTACCAAGTATTTCAAATTAAATCACGAATTGACAGTAATTAGAGAACCACTTAATGCCGGAGAGATTACTGAACAGATGTTTCCTCCTATCCCAGTTGGGTACTTTTCAATATAACTCACTTATGGACTCACTGGGAATCGGGACTAGGAGTTTAAAGTTAAGAATTCTAAACTGGGACGAAAGAGCCCTGATTTTTAATACTTCTCTAATTAATGTCAATTTGTGATTTAACTTTATTTTTTATTTTACTCCTTCGCATTCCCAGTGGGACAGAGGGCTTCATGCTAGAGCTGCGAAGTTCCAGAAGGAGTGGCTACTTTTACGGGATGAGGTTGCCGGCCTCCCAAGCCCGATCTTCCCTCTTTATCGAGCTTACTTACTACCGGATAAGCGAGGTTTAAGAGTGTGTCGACCGCGAATCAAACACCGGACCAGTTGCTTGGTTGACCAGTGTTCTATAAATGAGCAAACCACCAAAGCGAAGTGGTTCAACTTAAAAACGATCAAATTAACTCAGACTAACTCTTGAATACATTAAGTATTGAATGAACTGAACTATATAGATGTAACTGGATTTCATTGATTGATGAAGCCATGTTTTCATTTGACCACCACTAGCCAATTCTTTTCTGACTTGATCCATCTTATGTCAACAGCTAACTTAGCCCATTGTCGAGGAAGGTGATCGAAGGCTAGGCTAGACTAGAAACGCGCAGCAATGCATGTCCTAACAATCTGCCTTAATCCATGTAACTTCACTATACAACCTCGTCGATTAATTTTCCCTCCTACTCACCTAACACTCAATCGAAGCCTAACCTGCTCAATATTACTCACCTTCCTATACCACCATCTACCGCTAACATACACGGGAAAGAGAACAGAGGCAGACATCCATGATAAAAGACAGCTAGCTATCTAGTTTGTCAGGCTTTTGATGTCTTTCACTTTCAATGGGGGCCATGGCTCACTCACAGTAAGCTAGCCCTCAAGGGAGGACGGAGTGAAGTGAGTGCTGAGCAATATACACGTCGTTCGGTCGACAGTCAGCCGGATATAACGTCTACTAAGCCAGAGACCGCGTAAGTTGGCAGGCAAATGCCACAAAAGCCTTCTTTATCCGTGCTGCAATTTCGTCAGCGATCAGATCAACCTGCTGATGGGACAGATGCAACTTCCCCCCAAATGAGTGAAGCGGTCAACACGCTCTACCACTTCACAGCCTCCCTACCTTTAAGCAAGGAGTGAGTTGATGTAATCCAGTCCTGTAGCATTATCTTACATTTGACAGGCGCGCCAAACAAACAACCCAGGACTGCTTGCTGCTCAATGTGTTCAGAAAACTGCTCTACTTTGTCAGCGTCTTCACTTAGGAGGGAGGACTAAATCATCCTTATATCCTAAGTCAATGAGACTTACTATACCCTGGTAACAAGTCAATCCCTGAGTCAGTTAGGGTTAATTTAATTAGTACATCTATGATGAAATTAAACAGAAATGTGGCCAGTGGGTATCTCTGACGTGCACCAGTGGTTGTCATCACTTCATATGACAACTCTCCAAAGATTCTCACCTGGCTGGCTGCATGGGCTCGAGTAGAGTGTCTTGATCAGTGAAATGTATTTTCTCGGCAAACTTTTCACGGCTAAATATTTCCATAATACGTCTCGGTCGACAGAATTGAATGCCACTTTCAGATCAAGAAATATGTCAATTGTTGGACGTCGGTAAGTATGCCTATGTTCCAGAATTTGTCAAAGGGTGAAAATATGACCGAATACACCCTCTTCCTGGTCTAAAGCCCACCTGCTTTACTCATGTTTATTTCTCCCAAACACCACATATGATGACTGAGCCTAGAACTTTAGATTAAACATCGGACAGCCGTTTTGCTCGTTCTCGATCGAGCTTATCAATGTTGTACACCCAGGAGCCGCTTTGGCACAGCTTGGACAGCTGAATTAGTTCAAACTATAGTAAATTCCATTATTGGTAAATTTTATTTTGATAAAGTCTCACAGTGTTATACAGTAATGTTTACTGATGACGTTTCGAGCACAATTTATTGCTCATAATCATATCAAGGTAATCACACGACTTCCTAAATTCATTTATATAGTTCCGTTGTTTTTCACTTGATTTGATTGGTAGTATTATTTTCCATATTTCGGGCATGAGTGATGAATCATTCTCATTGCATGTGTTGGGTGTAGATTCGATGAACAAGGATTCAGTAATCAACAAGTAATCAATCAATCATCGAATCTACACCCAACACATGCAATAGAAATGAATCATCACTCATACCTGAAATATCGAAAATATTACTACCAATCAAATCAAGTGAAAATCAAGTGAAAAACAACGGAACTATATAAATGAATTTAGGAAGTCGTGTGATTACCTTGATATGATTATGAGCAATAAATTGTGCTCGAAACGTCATCAGTAAACATTACTGTATAACACTGTGAGACTTTATCAAAACAAAATTTACCCATAATGGAATTACACTCTACCACAGTGCACAAGTTTTATTCTTATATCAAACTATAGTAGCCTAGTCCACCAAAGGAATGCAGTAAGCACCCGATACATTCACAACAACAGTTATTTATCGCAATGACAATCAATCTGTAATATTCCACAACATAGTTTTATGATAACTGCTGTGTATTAAATAATACACTGAAATAAGAAAAATCGTGGAAAATACTGATCAGGACATTAGAGAGAAAAGAAAAAGAAGTTCAGCAAAAAGACAACTGATTATCCTTTCGGCGACTTCATTCTCATAAGCACTTGTACATTTGCATTAATATACATAAGTTTACATAGATACCATCATTCTCATTTAACTCCACATCCTAACGTAGGAGATAAAAGGTGGCAGTCATTTTCAACTTGATAAGAAAGTTTGAAGGTGTGAGTGTATAGAGTACAAGAGGATGAGAAACAAAATTAAACGGGCGTACAAAATAGTTTTCAACGAATACAGGTGTCAGTGGGATGAGCATGGAAACAAACTGAAGTAATCATTTTTTTCACAACTAAAAGTGACAAAAACAATGAAGGGAATGAAAGAAAAATACAAATAAAAACTAAGGTGTCAAACAGAACTAGATCTGTGTCATTAAATATTGACGTTGGGCTAGTTTCTTTTGAATAACACATAGTTTCGACTTTTCAATGCATATGGCGACGGATTCCTGCTGTACAAAGAAGCTGGAGGCGCACTGCCTTCGGTAGATTTTTGGTTCAATTTGTAAATGACTCAAAATGTGTTAGAGAACATTAATGTGATAGGAAACAGCATAAATAGTATAAATTATCTTTTCTCACGTATCTTGTGACGGAGTTACTAGTACTAATCCATCATTCCTCACACATATTGTGACTTAGTGTGCGATCAATTTATCTTCTTTTATCTCACCTTGGTCTTTGTCGGATCGCCAACCAATCCGGACGGCAATTACCAGCCAATAAAAACAATCCATTCCTACGTCTATGAGCCAACTTTATTGTGGTAAAGAAAATGTATAAATATGATGTGTTGTTTCCTAATAAATATACAGTATCTTACAGTCACAGGTGACAGTCTTTGTCTTTTGATATTTGCATGGCTCAGTGAATCGGAAGGTACAACGGACAAATAGGCGTATTAGCGTACCAGTTGACTTCATCACCGTTATAACAATTAACCGTGCAGATACAACAGTTACCCAGCATGGCTGCAAAGAGGAGGCACTGATTCAATCAGAAGCCCAACAATCGAACACCTCGCCAACACCTGTCACAGCATCTCTCAACTGACTCATCATTCAGAGTCACTTACAAAGTAAGCAAAAATCCACCAAACGAAGACAGTGTGTTTCTAACTTCTTTGCACTGCAGAAGTTCTCGCTATATGCATCGAAAAGTCAGAGCTATGTGTTTTAAAACAACTAGACCAATCTCCACGTCTACTATAGATCTAGTTCTGTTTGACTCCTTAGTTTTTGTCTACGACTGTATTCGTCAAAAACTTATTTTACATTTAACGCAACTATTTCCTAATCCTGCGTAACCTTGTTTCTGAGCCCCTTGTAATCTACATATTCACACCTTCAAACTTTCATATTAAGTTGAAAATAATTACCACCTTTAATCCCCTTAGTTATTATGTGACCTATTATGACCCGAACTCCGACCTAGTAGACTATTAGAGGGCAAAGTTCAACAATAGCGTCCCAATGGTCGCGAACACACGAGTGACCTTCAGCCGGCCAATCACAAAAGTAAGTGACTTTTGCACAAAAAATGACGTTTATTTACAAGAAAATGCATGAAAACACACTAACACAGGGTATGCTCCTCTGACACATGACTTAAAAATACCTCCCAGTTATAATGAGGAGTATCAGTTGCTAAGTTAGACTAGTTTCTGTACATGTATTCACCGAAGTGACTGAAGATGAGCTGTTTTTGTGAATCGTTTGTCTCTCTCTTATCTTGTTGTGCAGTCCGCTTTGAAGCCCTCCGTTGAATTACTATAATTTCCAGTGAGAAGATCGACAACTACTTACCAGGAAAACGTGGATAATACAACAAATGAAAAATAAATGACGCCAACTATAAATCTATCGCTAATCGTAACCCTAATCCTAACCCTAACGAGGCATTAACACATTGTCCAAACAGTACTTAAAAGCGTGATCTGGGTAAAATTTGCTGCTAAGCTGGTTAATAGAGTTGATATTTCAGCCATGATAATGACAGGTGCCGTTATCCAATGAATAGCATGCTTTCAAGGTCAGTAAGGCGTTCGCACTCCTGAGACGCTATTGTTGAACTTCACCGACAAAAGGAAAGACTGGACGTCGATAAGGGAGCTATTACTGTCTCGAACAACAGTCAAAACACTAGACAGAAACTATATATATACGTTTGAAATAACCTTGAAAATACAGCAATTCTGTGGTGCATTATAAGTATTGTCAGCCAATAAGAATCCAGCAATCCAAAGAGAGGGAAAAACAAAGAGTTCAAGTCAGTGCGCGATAACCCCTTAAAATGGTTACTTTAAGGTTTTAGGCAAAACTAGGTGTATATGACAGTGAAATTAAGTTCTAATTCCATCTATGTACACTAATGATGTATATAAATGCTATCGTACAGCTGCTCTGGAGCATCAAATCACCGAAAAGAGAGTTGTCTTTGCTGATATACGAAAAAGGCGAGGATTCAAGTGAAAAATAACACTTACAATAAATATGAATAATACTAACTAACCTTTAAATGACCTGATGATGTACTGAAAACAGCATATGTATTACACAAATCAATACTTGTTATCTCCAATAGCACACTAGATTCCCATCGACCGATATCATTAGAATTCCATGCTTTTAAAAGACCAAGTATACCATTCGATTCAAGACAGACATCAACATGGAAACTTTTGCAACTTTGACTAATAGTGTTGGCGGGATTATTATGCTGATTGTTATTGGTGGATGTGTTACGCGGTGGAACAAGACACCAAATAAGTTTTCCATTTGGAGAGATGTGAATCTACAACAACAGCGACAACAACGGAAAAACACAAAATTGCAAGCTAAATAAAGGAACAAAAAAGAGAATAGCTAAGATTAATTATTATACAGTGCATTGGAAAGCGCGGGTTCAATTCCGAGACGATGTACTACTTCTTAAGTCTCGTCCGGTTGTTGATATAAGTATAAAACTTAGGCACTGTGGTGGTAGAGTATAACTCCATTATGGAAAAGATTTTATTTTGATAAATCACACAGTGTTGCTATGCAGTCATATTAACCGATGACCACGTTTCGAGCACAAACTATTGCCACTCATAATCATATCAAGTAACTAACCCACACAACTTTTTTCCTTCATTTATATACATGAGTGGAATCGACTAGATATTGGAATGCAAATCAATATATGATAATGTCGATTCAGAAATAATAATATGAGTGTTACCAATAAAATACAATCAGATGGGAAATAAGACGAGTGTTTTTATAGTCAAAATAAGTAACGTGTTAGAATGTTATGATGTGCTTGAATTGAAATAGAATTTTAAGATTATTTATTATCCTCCTCTGATTTGACTGGTGGTAATAATATCTTCCAAATACCTCTGGTATTTCCATTGAGTCATTTCTGTTGCATGTGTTGGGTGAAGACTCAATGAACCAGGATTCAGTAATCAACCTCTCTCGCTCTCCACCTACCTACATATATTATTTCTTAGAATTTTAACCCTATCCCACACTACTGTGTGGTTGTGTGTTAATACGTGCAGTGCAATTGCTGAGCTTTTTTCTAAATTACTCATCTTCTCGGGGTCAACGATTCTTGCCTTAGCCACTAAATTCTTATGTTCCCACAATCTGACTTCCCCCGACCTACTAGTTTGACCTATGTAGATGACCTCAATCACAGTCATTGCAAGGTATTTTGTAAATTATATTATTTTGTTTAATTGGGTTCACCGGGTCTTTTAGCCTACAGAATCTTCCCCTATTCCCCGGTTAGTTTACTAACCGGACTTGACGTCTAGAAGCCTTATACCATTAAATAGACAACTCCATATTTTTTCAACTAAAACAAACTTAACTATAATCTACTCGAAACGCAAGGAATGAGAAACAAACTAAGATTACTGGCCGCTTGCATGAACCTTGTGCAACCGAAATACCCTTTTGCATTTGGATCAATCAGAGAGGTTCTCAGCCGGCATATATACATATGTATATATATAGATATATATGCGAGTTGAGAACCTTAGCGAAAACTACAGATGTCGCGGTTATTCCGTTTCATTTCTACTGGTAAAAATTAGTTGATTTGTTGTGAGCATTCTGCTATTAAATTCACATGCGAAGAGGAATCCCAGGACAAAACTGCCTTCCTGGATGTCCTACTTACAAGAAAACCAGATGGTAGCATAAAAATAAATTTGCATAGAAAAAGTACATGGACAGGACAATATACACACAGCTTCATAGCTTTGTTCCTCTCCAGTATACAAAAGAAATTTAGTAAAGACCCTCAGCCACAGAATTAGAGCTGTATGCTCAGAAGTAATTGAAGATGAATTAAGCATTGTATATGATACCCTGATTCAGTGAAAATAGCTATCCCGACAAATTTATCAAGAAACACATGACAACGAAGGCGGAAAAGGACTACTCACTATCCGTAAACAAGAAGCCTTTTTAGATAAACGACTGCAATTCAAGGGCGATATACCAAGTGAAATAATTACGAAGAAATTAAGAAAATCAGTTCAAAGAACCTTTAATGCTGGTGAACTACACGTCTTATTCTCCACACGACCGATGGTGATTCCTCGACTGAAAGATGAAGTACCTAGACTAGGCACTTTAAATTGTATCTACCAATTCAACTGCGCTCGTTGTGGAGCGAGATATATTGGCCGTTGCTCTAGGAACTTGATTTTTCGTGCTCGAGAACATCTCCCAGTATGGCTAGGTTAAGGTGCAGTAAAAACGATTGACAGTTCGATATTAGACCATCTGGTGCAAACCGGTCACAAAGCCAGCATTGAAGAATCCTTCTCTATCATCTATCTAAATTGCCAAAAACATCCAAGTACAGCATACTGCAAAACGGAAGAAGTTATCGCAATTCGCGTGAAACAACCAATGTTTTGTGTGGAAAAGAAATAAATCCAGCCACTACTACTGCCCTGGCTGTCCTTCAGTAGACACTGTAAATTCATGAATTTGTATTAGCATCAAAATAGTGAAAATTTCACTCTGAATTGTTGATAATAGATGGTTGGAGGGAATCGGCAGGAAGCCGCACCTTACCTAGGTTTCATACTAGTTGGCATTCACCAGTCAGTCAGCAAGACGTGCCTGAAACCCTGGAGGAACTCATGTCCACCCCTGGCCTCCGAGATTCGAACTGCGTCACCCAGTGCTGCAGTCAGTCAGAGACGTTGTCACTGGGCTAATCGGGCTTGCGATTGTCCCCTTGTAGGACTGGACATTTTAGATTGAACACTAGTTAGTAACTAATATAATGCATCTAGTACTGCACTGGGTGACACGGGTTCGATTCTTGGGAGGGACATGAGACTGCAGATACACCTTGCTGACTGGTGAATGCGAACAAGTACGAAAACTAGGTGTAAGGCTTCCTACCGATCCCCTCCAACCATCTAATTACTACAATTCTTAATGCACCGTGATGGCGGCGAGCCACCTAGTGGCATGGCGGCCACATTGAGAATTTGACTGAGAGCTAGTGTCCAGTCAGAAAATTTCTCTCTCTGGCATGAACGTTAATACATTTGATAGTTTGCACTAACCAACTTCCTACCTAATAGATTTGCAAGTCTACGGTTCCAATTAATATTAGCAACAACAACGACACGATACCACCGAACCCGCGGCGTAAAAAAGACAAGAAGAGAAGACAGACCGTTAACCTAGAAGGTTTTTACTGCCCTGAATAAACAGCGAAAAGGTTTGACAGCAATGGCGTATCTATATATGCTTTAAATGACCTTGAGCGACACTAATTTTACTGATAAGTTAAAATAGTCAATAACCAATAGGATTTCAGCACTGTACTGTTAAGATAAATGTACTATTTTAGAAAAAGGAGGCCTGTATGACACTTTGTAATTAAAATAACGTGATTGTCACCACTATAATAACTAATATCAGTTCTTATTTGAATTCGGATAACAATTGATTGATTAGGCAACATTCTCAGTCTGTACCAATCAATTAATTGAACAATGAAAATAAACAGAGAAAATTGACACACACAAAAAAACAGAGACAGTCATATGACACTAATGGATTAAGTAATTTTAATTTAATTGAGTGATTAATTCATTATCACGTATATATATAATCGATAATACTTCGATTGTAAAATAAAGGAAAGTGCGATCAATAAAATCCATATCTCCGTACTAATCAATACATACATATATACATGAATACATATATTTATAGCCCTTTCATACAGACTATTGCAATCGATAGATTAATGATATCCTGTGTTCATTTAAGCAGGTTTGTGTGGGATATTTTTTTAAATTTCAACTTAATATACCACACATAAATGATGGTTTTTACTAAGTAGTGAATTTTCTCAAAGTAGAAGGAGTACTTTAAACATAGAGTGTAGCAGTTCAAGTGATTACTCTTCATAAAAGTACAAATTAGTATATGAGAAGAAATTGGGCATTGTGGGAGTCTGTAAATCCATGTTAATTAATTTATTAGATGGATATATCACACAGGAAAGCAGTATTATTAATTACTGGATGACGACGCCTTTCGAACACAATTCATTACTCTTCATAATCATATCATCAATTATAGCTACACACAATTCGAAACTTTCATTTTGTAGTTTTTTTATTCCTACCTATTCGTTGTAGGGGTAGTAGAAGGAATTTTCCACATATCCGGATGGACAGGTGTTGAGTCATTTCTATTACACGTACTCTCTTCAGTTGATTCGATAAATAAAGCCTAATTTATCAATCTCTCCCTCCACCCTGTTATATTAAAACAAACGTGCTACTAGAAGATACAATGCTAGGAGTTCAATTATGCCTAACTTCTACAGTATTTAAATTCCAGGGGACAAAATATACAAACAAAATGAGGCAGCTACCATGGGGTCACCAATATCTCCTATAGTGGCAGATATATTTATGGATAAGTGGGAAAACTTAGCGATTGAAACGTTCAGACCCACCCCAAACGTGTGGTGGAGGTATGTAGATGACACATTAACTGTACTTAGAAAACAGAATATAAATAGATTTTTCGAACACATCAACTCGGAGGTGAAGGCAATTCAACTCACTTATGAATTGGAAAGTCAGGATGGGTAGCTTCCAGTGTTAGACTGTAGCGTAAAAAGGAAAGAAAATGGGGAGTTAAAACACACTAGTGTTTACAGAAAACCCACATATTCAAACCGATATCTGGATTTCTGATAGTCACGCTTTATGCCAGTAAAAATAAAATTAGTGAAATGTTTACATAATAGGGTACAAAAACTAAGTAGTATCAAGAATAATCGAAAACAGGAAGTGAGGCATGTAAGTGAAGCTTTGAGACTAAATAATTACCCTGATAAATTAATTAGGATGTAAATAGGAAAATGTAAAAATAAAATAAACAGTAACAGTACTGTTAGTGACACTAATAATATTACTGATGACGGCACACATGAATAACATGTACAGAACAATGACAACACCGACAGTAAGGAATTTGAATCATCGGTAGTAATTCGATACAGAGAAGGAACCTCAGAAACCTTAAGGAGAATTCTTAACAATGGAGGAATAAAAGTGGCATTCAAACTGCCCGCAAACTCAATTAGAAACAAGCTGTGTCGGTTAAAGGATCAATCCTGTGCAGCCTTTAACACAAAACAATTTAGTTTATCTAATACCCCGTGCGATTACTGTCAGGTCAAATACATAGGTCAAAGTGGTAGAACAGGTACAGTCAAACTAGCGGAGCATAAAAACCTACCAGCAA